GGGTGGGGCCGCCCCGCCCCCAGGTGCTGCCCGGGCAGGCCGGCGGCGGGAGCGGCGGGCGGGGCGGGGGCGGGCGCGTGAATCAGGCCGCGCGGCGGGCGGGCCGCGACAGGGAGTGGCTGCCGGACCGACCGGACCGCGAGGCCGCTGGGCGGCGGTCGGCTCCTGCTGCCCTTGTCCCGAGACCCCGCGCACCTGGCCAGGTAGGGCCCCCTCCCCCGGCTCGAGCGGGGCGGGGCGCGCCGGAGGGGAGGCCGCGGCAGGGCCCCCAGGGTGGGGCGGGGGCGGCCTCACCTGGGCGGCGCTCCCCCCCCGCACCTGGGCCGGGGCCGCGCGGCGGAGCGCCGGGCGGTGGGAGCACGAGCGCGGGGCCGCGCCGGGCCGGGCCGGTGGGGGGAGGTCTCCTGGGCCGCGTGTACCGGCGTGGCCGCGAGCGCCCTCGCACGACGCCGGTCCGGCAAGAGCGGAGTGGGAAAGGGCCCCGGGCCGTCCTCGCTCGCTTCCGCCCTCGCGGCCTAGCTGGAGCCTGCGGAGGGTGCTGGGCCTGGCCTGGACCCCTCCCTGGGCTCCTCGGACCGGGGGTGGCTGGGGAGGCCGAGGCGCAGTCTGGTGTCCTGCGTGAAGTGCTGGGAGAGCGGAGGGCCCCGGTACCCTCACGCCCAAGTCCCCGAACTGGGGCGGGTGGATGGGACACCGGGCCCAGGCAGCCGCGAGTTCCTTGGGCGCACTAAGCCCTTCTGGCCCTGCGGGGCACCCCCCGAAGACGACAACTCATCAGCCTCAGTCTGTGCGTCCCAGCTGGCCGAATCCCACCCCCCAACCTCGTCCCTGTTGCCCAAGGCTTGCACAGGTTTCTGCGGGTAACCCGTGCTCCCACCTGTACTTAGTGCACGGTCACGTCGCCTTGCGCTCCTTCCAGTCACTTAGAAAACCCACCTCCTACCCGGGAGGGATGTCCCTCGTTAGGGGCCTACTAAAGCCCTGAGGGCCCTGGAAGATGTGTCCGCCTTGTGTCAGGGGTCAGAGGTCAGCAGCAAAGGAGCAGATTCCTGCTGAGTCATTGGTCTGGGTGGGATAAGTGCCTCTCCCTCCCTCAGGGCAGGCGTTCAGTAGGCAAATGTGTGAGGAGCCACGCTGTTGGGGCCCTGTCATGGGCTGGAGAGTGGCCGCTGCCCAGTCCACAGTTCAGGGGTGTGCAAGGTGAAAGGAAGGAAGTCAGTGGGATCATGGGTATTACTGTGTGAGGCCGTGCAGGGCCCCCTGGTGTGGGCACTCAGGATGGGCACCCCATGCCTGATGAGTCCTGTCTGCTGCGGGGGCTCCTGTGGGCACTGTGGCACCTGCCCCGGCCGCCGCCAGCCTGGACAGTTTCTGTTGATTCCCCTTCTCAGTGAAGTGCAAGGGACTGCAGGGTTCCCCAGCTTGGGAAGTGCTCCCTGTCAAATGTAGTGAGCAGCATAGTGCCCCCAAGCCCTGCCTGGTCTGACACTGGCCCCATACAGCCAAATTCCAGGGTCTTCCCCGCCCCCCACCACCCTCTGTCGGATACTGTGGGAGACACCCCCCATGGTGGTCAGGTGCAGTGGGAGACCCCGCTACAGACAGACCTGCCACCTTGTGCCCCAGTGCAGTCTGCCTCTGAGAACGGTATGGATATCTTGTATGTAACCACAGAGGGTGGAACAGCAGAACAGCTTTCCCGAAGATCTTCCTTCTCCCAGGTACCCTCTCCCACCCCCACAGAACGTCCAGCCTGCCTGTCACCCCCCAGGAGAGCAGACAGGAGAGGTCCCCATATGGCCTTCCAGAGCTAAAGGCAGCTTCTCCCAGCCTAGGCTCCCTCACAGGCCCTTGGGAGGCAGGTGGACTGGAGTGGACCAGGTGGGGCTTAGTGACACACCAGGTGTCAGTGTGAAGTTGGGACAAGGGGAGAGGCACATCTGGAGTCCAGGATGAGCCTGATGGCCACAGCCAAGGGCTCAGGCTTCATCCAGAGCACAGCGGGGAGCAGGGCATGGCCAGAGACAGAAGACCACCACAGGCATGCAGGGTTGGGCTTAGCCATGCAGCACTCTAATAAGCTTGTGGAGAGCCAGGAGGCTGCTACCCAGATCTGCCAGGGGGTGTGGCTCGGGTTTTTATCTAAGGTGGCACAGTGGCTAGAAAGGTGGATGGGTCAAAGGGAAGGGAGTGGTCCTGGTGGACAGGGACAAAGGGCGGGGGTCAGAGTTTGGAGGGCTGTGAAGTCCGCGAATAGGTGGGGGCTCAGAGTGTGTGACCCCATACGACGGGTGCTGAGGCCTGGGACAAAAGTGGTGACAAGTTTTGTAGGCTGAGCTCACATTGGGCCAGGCACGGGAGCAGGTCAGCCCTGGCAGCTCCCTTTTACAGTGGGGGTAATGAGCCAGAGAGGCCCAGCAAGCGGCCCTGGGCTCCCCCTCACCCCCCTGTACTGCGGACAGAGATACACAGGTGGGGGGCCACCTGACTTGTTCAGTACACACAATTTCGTTCAGGGCCCATGAAAATGCATTAATGCCCAAATCAGAGGAAAAAAGCCAATACAGTAAAGAATCCAGCCTGGATTATATTTTTTTTATGCCAACAATAGTAAAATACTGGTTTTCTTTTTATGGAGGAAGGGGCCCACAAAGAAGTACCTGGGTCACAGGGGCCATAAAGGAACCCTGAGTGGTGGCTTCATGCAGCCAGAGCCCCTGCCTGGAAACCAGGGTGCAGGATCTCCTGAGGTCCCGGGAAGGGGAAGGGCCCCACCAGCACGGAGCAACATGAGATAGCGCCGGGGCACCCTCCCGGCACCCCGCCAGCCAGGGGGCATCCTGGGGTCCAGGGTGGAGTGCATGGTCTGCACTCCACAGCCCACTCAAGGTCACAGACAAGTGTCTACACACGGTGGGTGGCGGGGAGCGGGCCCAGTGCCACTGCCCCAGTAATGTGTCTCCCTGCCCCTCCCCAGGCCCCTGGCCCCGACATGGCCCGTCGCTCCCAGAGCTCCTCGCAGGGGGACAACCCACTGGCACCTGGGTACCTGCCACCTCACTACAAAGAGTACTACCGTCTGGCAGTGGATGCCCTGGCTGAGGGAGGGCCAGAGGCCTACAGCCGCTTCCTGGCGTCTGAGGGGGCACCTGCCTTCCTGTGCCCTGAGGAGCTGGAGCATGTGAGCCGCCACTTGCGGCCCCCACAGCATGTTGCTCGCGAGCCCCCTGAAGGCAGCCCTCCCAATGTGGACATGGATGGCTCCTCAGGCACTTACTGGCCCATGAACTCAGACCAGGCAGTGCCTGAGCTTGACCTAGGCTGGCCCCTGACCTTCGGCTTCCAGGGCACTGAAGTCACGACCCTGGTACAGCCACCACCGCCTGACAGCCCCAGCATCAAGGATGAGGCTCGAAGGATGATCCGCTCTGCCCAGCAGGTGTGCTGTCACGGGCTGGGTGGACAGTGGGGGGGAAGGGCCTGAGCTGGACCTCGAAGCATGAGTGGAGTGTGCTGGTGAAAGGAAAATACCAGCATTTCCAGCTTAGGGAGCAAGGGTGAGGCCAGGGCCAACTGGCCACGCTTCTCCAGCCTTCAAGCTACAGCACAAGCTCCCTGGCAGCCAGCTTTGGGGGTCACGAAGTGTTTGGTTATTGCAGGCTGCGGGGGGCACACTGCATTTTGCTTGCGCTTGGTCATGGCCAGTGCCCAGAAACTCAAGGGCCCTGGGATGCTAGGCCCCCTTCCTGGTCTGGATTTATGGTTCAGAGAATTCTCTCCAGTCGAACCTTTGACCCAGGCTTGACCCCACCAAACAGGTGGCAAACAGCAAAGGGAGCCAGACATGGAAGCTGAGGCAGCAGATCCAGAAGCTAGAGACCCCCAACTGCCCTGTGCATCCTCTACAGCAGTCTCCTCCCAGGGGCAGAGCTAGGGCCTGGGCTGGGCCATCGTGGGGCAGAGCTAGGGCCTGGACTCGGCCATCTAGGGCAGGGCTAGGGCCTGGACTCGGCCATCGTGGGGCAGAGCTAGGGCCTGGGCTGGGCCATCGTGGGGCAGAGCTAGGGCCTGGACTCGGCCAT